AAGAAAGGCACAGGAAGACAAGTACTATATGTTCTCATTCATATGTAGGAGTTAAAAAAGTAGATCTCATGTAGGTAGAGAATAGAATGACAGCTATCAGACACCGGGACTAGCTAGTGAAGAAAGGTTAGTTAATGGGTACAAACACACAATTAGATAGAAAGAATAAGTTCCAGGGTTCAATAGCACACTAGGGAGGTTAATAAGTAATTAGCACACAGTAATTAGTAATAAGTAGCACATAAGGTGACTAGCACAGTCATGTTCCTTAAATCTTAACAATTCTTTATGTTTTTGTTTTTTTTTGAGACAGAGTCTCACTCTGTCACCCTGCGTAGAGTGCCCTGGCATCATCATAGCTTACAACAACCTCAAACTCCTGAGTCTGAGTGATCCTCTTGCCTCAGCCTCACGAGTAGCTGGGACTATAGGTGCCTACCACAACACCCAGCTAGTTTTTCTATGTTTTAGCGGAGACGAGGCTCTCTCTGGCTCAGGCTATTCTCCAACTCCTGAGCTCAGCTGATCCACCCACGTCCACCTCCCAAAGTGCCAAGATTACAGGTGTGAGCCTGGCCAATTTATTATATATTTAAAAATAGCTAGAAGAGAAGAGCTGAAATGCTCCCAACACCAAAAACTGATAAATAGTTGAAGTGATTAAAATACCCTGATTTGGTCATTACACGTCATATCCATTATTGAAGGATCACATGTACCCTAAAAATATTTCTAATTATTATGTATTAATAAAGAAAATTAATTTTTAATAAGCTGACTTACCCACCATGCCCCCGATTTTGCATTCCTTCCAACAAAGCCTCCATCACCAAATCCCCTTTGTTTTGACAACTGAGAAAGGAAAGAAAAAAATTAGTCATGAGAAAATTCATTTTTAAGCTCTAATATTCTAACATACAACCTAAGAATGTGAATCAAACCATACAAGTAACAATGGGAAAACACAGCACTTCTTAAGATGATTGTAGAAGCAAAGAAAATCACTTCAAGAAATACTAGGACAAAATATATTTCAGACTAAAAGAAAATAATTAAACTTATTTGAACTGTTGTTGACACTGTCCTCATATAACTGCTATCAAACACTATATACCTCATTGTTCTATGTCCAGCTCCTAAGAGTGGACCAGGGGTGGTGAAGGTGTCTTTCCAGCAGAGGGACACTGACACAAACTCCCTTACAAATGAGAGGAAAGCATAGGGGTCACATATGTCAGAAAAAAAAGTGTAGTTGTTTTGTTTTCTTTTTTTAAATAAGATATTTTGAAACATGAAATGCACTAAGGTTGAACCCCCCTGGTTCATCACAGGAGATCCCAGGAGAAGACAAGCCCATGGAGCTTCCTGCTACACTCTTCTCTCCTACAAGGCAGCCACAAGACCCTCCCTCCTCTGCACTTTATACCTCCTACTCCTTAACAGGTTCTTTCTAGGAGTCAACACCACACTGGAAGTGAGTTTTTCACACACTCTTTTTCCTTCCTAGACTATTCATCCCTCTCTGCCACAGAGTTCAGTATAATGTTCCAACAAGGACTGTGCTAGATGCTCTGGGCTTACCTCAACTCCTGTCATTTACCCTCCACAGCTATGCAAACTGGTCATAGCTGAAGGACTACAGAAAAGGGTCTAGCTGAGAAAGAGGAAAGACAGAACAGACTGCCACAAAACGGGAAAGGTGTATCATGAAGAAAGGTGAGAGGACAGGAATGAAGACCCTTAAATTCAGATGTGCCCACGAGTACTATGTGCTGTAGGTTTCTCAATTCTTACCACAAATCTTCAAAATGTTCGTCAATATCAAGCCACTTTTCACTCCCAAGAAACTTCTCTTTAAACTTTTAGCGAAGTTAGTGTAGAAGTTCTGCCTCTTCGTCTTAATACCTTATCAAAAAGTTATACTGCTCCAAGAAGATTTCTTTATTCAACAGATTATTGAGTGTTATACTACTCAGTATACACGGTGGTGAAAAAACATAACCCTTTCAAGAAGTTAACTGTCCAAAATGGACAGAAAAAATTAGCTAAAAATGTTCTCCCAGTATGATAAAGGTAGTGACAGAACAATGTCCAGGGTATTCCAGAGACACAGAGGAGAATAAAAAGACTGGAAAATACAACCACTGTACCCTCTATTTGCATCTATTTCTAATAAGGAGTATAAAACTATTCACACACAAATATGGGGGGGAGGAACTTTTCTCATTTGAATTACCCTACATATTACACCCACATTACACAAAATAAAAACCTAAAGAAAAAGGTTCCCATGTTCGATTTCACTTTCTTTCAAACCATGATAGAATCACATTCCAATGCAATCTAGATTCCATGTTTTTGGTCCACTCTAAACCAACTATGAGGCAGCACACAGTCCACACAGAACTATATGGAGACTCAGGATGCAGTCTTCCTGTACAGCTAACTAGTTATGTAACCTTGGACTTCAGTTTTTGCATCTGCAATATAAGGGGCATGAACGATAATCTCCAAGGTTGCTTACAGATCTCTCTTGGAATTCTAACAGTCAGTTAAATGTTCAGAGTAAATAATGTGCTCCTGACAACAACACAGTTATTTATTAAACGTATAAGAATATATAAATATTCTTAATGTAGGGCTACTTGTTATTCAAAATTATCATTAGTAAAATTATACTTCTTTAGGTCATGATATTCTTAAAATTAATGAATTCAGTAATATATTTTCCAGATTACTATTACTTAATAATTAACAATGTTTACAATAGAAGTTAAAAGTCATTGAATGTTAAATTGTTATAGCTACCCTGGACCCACCATCTAATTCAAATTTAGTAACATTCACAGAAAATGAGGCTTGGAGGGATATATAACTTAACTACAGAAAACTACAAATTACAGTCTTGGGATCAGCCTAGGTAGTGACTCTGAAGTACTAAGTAATGTACAATCTTTATATGTAAATTTTACAGTATTCAGATAGAAAAACACATAAGCATATTTTCTTTTGACCCAATAGTGTCTTGGGCCAAAAAGAATTTTAAAAAAATAATTGATTAAATTAGGCATTAAAAAAAAAAATAAAAAGCAATTTAAAAATTTAAACTGAAGTATGACATCACCACTGTAGCCACCAGGTGGCAGCAGCACAACAATGAAATAGTCCACATAGGAGAAATTGCCATTTCAGAAACCAAAATAAAGGTCTAAAACTAAGACAAAGATCCCTCTTTCAAAGAAAAAAAGGGGAGGAGGGGATCAGAAACATCCTCTATGGAAAATAAAGTAAAATTATTTATGTGTAATATGTTTCTTTAATAATACCTTCACCATCTGTTCGAGTAGGTGCCAAACAATACCAGCTCTCATTCCTTAGGATCAAGTAATAGTAGGACTCAGATTTCCTACAGGTCTTTGTTAGCTGAATTGCACACAGCTACATCGCTGATTCCTTTTCTAATCAACCTGACTTCTATACAACTCTATGCACTTTGCTTTTTTTGTCAAGTACCATGTACTAAATAACTACATGAAGCTACACATTCTTTCTTCATAATATTAAATACAAATTTAAGTAAATACTGTTATATAATCTGCTACTCCTTGCCACTAACATGCAATGATACTGTGGCTAAAGGGAAAACGTACAGCTCTCTAATTTTAGCAGTTAAACCAAAACATCAACAAACAACTTACTAATTATAACTCTCCTTTGAAATGAAGGCTGTTTTAAATCAGTAAAACTTGGAATTGGATGGTGAAAGGAACTACAGGCTTTTTCATCAATTCTGGGAAGAGGAAAAACACACTTGAACAAAAAGGAATACAAACAGAATGTCTGAAAAAAAGTAAATCTTTGAAAACTCAGTTACAGAATTTAAAAGCTAGAAAGCACTTCAGGTCTCTAATTAACCTCTTAATTAACAGATCAGAGAAATTATCAGAGTATATACAAAATCAAATTATTTACAAATTGGACAAAGCAAATAAAAACTCCAGATAGAATTATGAATAAATGTGTATGTACTAAGAGTTTAAACTAAAATTCAAGTCTAGTTTATAGAAGGATGACAATGCTCTGTTCCTTTACCTGCCTTGGTATCACATAATTACAAAAATCTCTGTTTGTGTCAGACATATTCCAGCTGGTAAACTACAGCAGTTCCAATGGACAATCAATATTATCTAACATTGTCCAGAAAGGCTTCCAATTAAACTTAAAGGGGAGGGGAGGAAGTCAGGATAAGGTATTAGAGAAATTTTTCTAAAAAATTAAATTTTAAAAATATTGTGCAAACTATGACTCAAAATCCAGTTAGAATAATGAGAAAGACTGAGAAATATAAGTACCTAACAATAAACTTTTACAGCTCAGCACCTGTAGCACAAGCAGCTAAGGCACCAGCCACATACACCAGAGCTGGCGGATTCGAACCCAGCCCGGGCCTGCCAAACAACAATGACAACTACAACCAAAAAATAGCCAGGCGTTGTGGGGGCACCTGTAGTCCCAGCTACTAGGGAGGCTGAGGCAAGAGAATCGCTTAAGCCCAGGAGTTAGAGGTTGCTGTGAGCTGTGATGCCATGGCACCCTACCCAGGGCAACAGCTTGAGGCTCTGTCTCAAAAAGAAAAAAGAAAAAAAACATAAACTTTTACATGAAAAAAAACTTTTGCACCAGCAAAGTTACAAGACAAATGATAACAGTATTGGAAAGCTTTACCACAAAGCATTAATTACTCAAACATACAAAGAGCTTATAACTAGGAAAAAATCTATAGGAACCTGGGCAAGAGCTATGAATAAGCAATTCAAAGAAAAATAAATGCAAGTGACCTTAAACATATGAAAAGATGCTCAACCTTGTTCATGAGAGAAATACAAATTAAACTACACTGAGGTTTGATGCCTGTAGCTCAGTGAATAAGGTGCTGGTCATATACACAAAGCTGGCAGGTTCTAACACTGCCTGGGCCTGCTGAACAACAATGACAACTGCAACAACAAAAAAAATAGCCAGGCATTGTGGCAGGCGCCAGTAGTCCCAGCTTCTCTTGAGGCGGAGGCAAGAAAATCACTTAAGCACAAGAGTTTGAGGTTGCTGTGAGCTGTGACGCTGTGGCACTCTACCCAGGGTGACATAGTGAAACTTTGTCTCATGGGCAGTGCCTGTGGCTCAAAGGCAAGGGCGCCGGCCCCATACACCGGAGGTGGCAGGTTCAACCCAGCCCCAGCCAAAAAAAAAGAAACTCTGTCTCAAAAATTAAAATAAAATAAAATAAAACTACACTGAGTTACTCTTTCTTTATCACATCACCCCAAAATTAACCATCTACTGGCAAGGCTATGGGGCAACAGGCACTCACAACATGTTGTAGGTGGAAATGTAAAATGGAACAACTACTATAGGGGAGATTTGGGGAATCCCTATCAAATGATACATGTATTGGCCCTTTTATTCAACAATGTTACTTCTTAGACTCCATTCCAAAGATACAGTGGTAAAAACACAAAATAACATTTGCACAAGGATATTTATTTATTGCAACACTATTTGTAACAGTAGAAAATAACATAAATGCCTTACAAGGGGAGGATCACCAATGGAACTCTATGCAACTGTAAAAGGAGTAACAATGTCTACATACTTCTGTGGCCAGACCTACAGGGCATATGTTATTAGGTGACAAAAGTAAGATACAAAATGGCATATGTAAATAGTACCTTTTATCCAAGAAAGGAAGGTGTGTGCTTACTTGTGTATTTGCTTTTAGGTACATTTTTTTTATGGAAGGATAAACCCGAAACCAGTAAAAAATGATACCAATAAGGAGAGGAAATAAATAGGGT